CATCTCTAGTTTTGAAGTGTTAGACTAGAAGGAAAGCGGATAGCCAACACTACTTACTGATAACTCTCATCTCTAGTTTGAAGTGTTAGACTAGAAGGAAAGCGGACAGCCAACACTACTTACTGATAACTCTTATCTCTAGTTTGAAGTGTTTGACTAGAAGGAAAGCGGATAGCCAACACTACCTACTGATAACTCTCATCTCTAGTTTGAAGTGTTAGACTAGAAGGAAAGCGGATAGCCAACACTACCTACTGATAACTCTTGTACTACTCTTTACCAACTAATAGTGGGAATGGCCGTCTAATTATAACGACCTTACAGCTGAAAGGGTGAACATGTTTGGTAAAGAATTTCGATCCCGCGACCTGCAGAGTCCAAGTCGAGTGTCCTAACCATCAGGCCAAGTAATTCATTTAACAACAGATATTTTTCATATAGAAATCTTAGTTTGTTATACTGTTCGTATGTGACTACTATATGGGCGGAATACCAACTTCAGGAGAGAAGTTTTTACCTATCTCCCACCCCCAGTAGTCCGGTTATAGTTCACAGTTTAAAGATATCTTATGTAAATGTGTTTTAGTAGCAGCAAGTACTTTCACACACCTGGCTGCTCTTATTATGTTCTTTTAATTTCTTCGCAAATGTGAATATAGTTTAAATGTGATAAACAGTGTACCCCTACCGTATGTGATTCTGACTTCTACTCTTACTAAGGTATATTTTACCACTATAACATTGTATTTCGTACCCTAGTTATATATTTATGTCTGCTATGTGCTACTCTTTCAATTTTTGTCCACGATAAGAAACAATGCTGTTTTTTACGTTATTTACCCTTTAGATGTGGAAGTTCACATAACTGTTGTGAAGCCTTTATATTTACATACATTATATATTTTACTTGGCATAAATTAGCAAGAAAAAAGCAATCATGACGACACACGTTATTTCTTTCTGAGTGCGCGTCTTCACTGTGTTTTACAGAAATTGACAGCATTACGTTTCTGAGGATTACTAAATAAACAGCAAACCCGCCAAGCCACCAACACTGATTATATATTTAACATCTGACCTTTTACTTGATTTTTTCTCAGCATGCATCCCAGTTCTCGTAACTTTCTTATGATGACAAATTTTTTTGTACAATTCTGCAGAACAGCTATTTTTGTTTCAAAACCAGTTTTTTTATCAAGTCATACTATACAGGAAATTCTAAGCTCTGAATATCAAAGAAACGTGACTTTATAATAATAAAAAGAACTAATGTCAGCAAAGAGTTTCTCTCTCTCTTTTTTAATATCCGAATATCTATATTTACTATAGATGATATCTATACCTTGATTTTTTGTAAACAAATCAAAGTATTTTTGAGAAATATATCCAGACATCCTAAACAGAAAGATGCTTATTTCCGTATATTGCAAACTCAACAATCAGAAATATCAGCCATTACACTATATGTACGTTAACCTAATCTCTGTTTATATTAAGAACTTTTTTTCAATGTCGTATAAGTTAGTATTTACATACATATACTGTAAGACAATATTGGAACGTATATAAAAAAACAGGAATGTAAATTAAAAAAATGGGTGTGATACTATGGAAACAGACCACTTCATCTAATCTGTCCGTCTGTCTGTCAGTTGAACATGATACGAGTAGGCTTGCATTATTTTTTATCACAAGTTAGCTTTTCTCAAGCTATTATTCATGTAGTAACGACGTCGTCTGCTATAAAACAGCATTTGTTTTAGACAGTTCGCTCGCGCCTAACTGACCAACGAAAAGATGGAGTTTAAACATCACAGCTCAAAGAACGCTTTCACTGCAATGAACTTTACAGTCTGCTATGATTGAGTGACGTTCATCATGTTTTACGTGACATCATCCTCTCCCTTATCATCAGTGATGACACTGATAGCTAGACTTCTTCAAGATAGTTAGATTTTTTTATATTAGTATTTTGAATTAAGTCTCTGACGTTCAACTGGATCATAGGCGGATTTTACTTTCTAGTCGTCCAACGATTTTACATTCTAAAAAGCACCCTCTATACAGAAAGGAAGGAACTTCAAGTGTTTAAAGTGTTAACACTACTTTCCCACAAAGTGTTTCCAGTATTAACACTTCTCTTCAAAAAAAAGTTTAATTGTTAACACTATTCAATAAATTATTTAAACTTTTAACACTATTCATAAATAAAGTATTTTAAATAACACTAGTCTTCAATAAAGTATTTACAGTTTTAATATTATTATTCAATAAACTATTTTAAATAACATTAGTCTTCAATAAAGCAATCAAAATGTTAACACCATTCTTCAATAAAGCATTCTAACTAACACTAGTCTTCAATAAAGTATTTAAAGTGTTAACATCATTCTTCAATAAAGCATTCTAACTAACACTAGTCTTCAATAAAGTATTTAAAGTGTTAACACTACATTTCACGAAACAAACGAATTGTTAAAAATGTTAACATTGCTTTTGAATAGTGTTTAAAGTGTTAACAGTGTTCTTCAATTACAACGTCAAACATTCTCTCTTAACAGTGATAAACAAAGGCACACCCTGG